ATTTGAAGTCGGCCTTGCATTTGTTCAGACTCTCCTCAAGGGAAGAAATCCTCCTTCCCTGTACCTTAGTCTCCCTCACTAACCCACGAACCTTATCTTCATTGATTAAAGCAAGAGCAGAAAGGCGATTGGTCAAGGACTCAACTCCCTTGGCGATGGAAAAGACACTTATCTTTTCCAAATCTTCCTTGTCGCCGGCGAGCAGATCAGTCTCGCGAAGGTGGGCAGAATGATTGAATTTTTCATCCCAGAAAGATAAGGCCTTACCATGATCGGTGCCACGATCCACAGGGTCCCAATTCTCCCCAAGGCACATGCTTAAAGTCTTTTCAGCAGATTGCATTTTCGCGTCGCCTTTATCTCCCTCGACAGCTACAACTGTCTCTAAGTTCACCACCAAAATATGCTTATCGGATTCCCGGGGACGTTTGTGGGACGTCTCAGCCACATTCCTGACCAGGGGGTCGGCCTGCCGGTCTCGCCGACCTTCTCAGTAGCCAATTCCTCAACCTCGACGACTTGGGAAGCTTTCTACTGCTTCCATAGCTTCGCCAGTTCCCGATTGCTTAGACTAGCCATCCTCTCTGCAAAACACATCCATAAGTTATACTAAGGAGCAAAGGTAGAATGACAAGAGTTTAGCAGTATTGAACATTCAAACAACATAATACCTATATATATTTTCAATTCTTCAGGCCTATTCTCTAGATCTAGGAGTTTGGCAGTGTTGAAAAGAGTTTTAAGATCTTTGAGTTTTTTAACATCCTCTCGTTCTTTCTCGGAGAGTGACTCGAGATCTAGCCCGCTAAAGGATACTGTGTTCTTGTTCCAAAAAAGAGGATACCTCGTAAACACATCCTCATGTCCTGGTCGGCATCAGACGCGAAAAAAAGATTTTTTGAAGTCCTTGTAAGATGATTGAAATAAGGTTAACAATCCCTGACCCGACACCCCACTCACGGACATCCAACTACTGCGCTTAGTAGACCGAGCTTCAAAAAAGTAAAAAAAATCGCTCCTGGTCGGAGTTATCTCGAGCCCAAGACACAATATTTCGAAGCCCCTGACAAAGGCCCAGCTATTTGGGTGGAACTGGGTCGGGGCAACATTCAAACACTGGAGCACTCCTTTTTCACACTCGGTGAGGGGCCACCTAACCCTAAGCTTAGAAATGAGAGTGGCATAAAAAAAAGTGAAACGCTCAGAAGGCGAACTCACACATACAGACTCCCTATCTACACAAGGTTCACAAACTAAGATGTCTTCGGGGCCTCGCGACACTACGTGTTCACTATTGAAACTTTCCATCATGGCCCAGGAGTTTCTGGAAGACTCACATCTTAGTACATCATCCTTCACCCATTCATAAATCTCCTTATAATTTACGGACGCCATGATTTAAAGGACCCAACTTTCTTAAACAACCAAAAAACTTAGACAAACAACTACCAAACACAATAAAGTAGGTGGGCGTACCTAAAGGCTCACAAACACCTCTTCCCCACTCAAAGATGCCACAAGAACCGCCGTGAACCACCGCGAGAAGGCGCAGAAAAGGGAGAAAACTTGCCGGAGAAGAAACACTGACAAGGGAGGAAATGGGGGAAAAAACACTTGCCCTTCACCAAGGGCATGTATTTATAGATTTGAAAGGGTGCGCGTGGGCGCGCGTGAATTGACAACGCGCGTGAAATGCCACGCCCCTTTGATCCCAAGGGCCCCACACGCTCAAGTTACACGAAGCGCGCAACACATGGCACTGTAATAATGCGCCTGCTGCGATGACGGCGCTACAATAAATGCATGTCTCTTCAAATGTAAGGTGAAGAGACAAGTTATGGAAGGCTTTTCACCTTCAGCATTTCGAACGTCAAGGCCAACCGAATCGGAATTTGACCGACCCCATCACGTAGGAATTGGACCGACCGCTTGGATTAGCTAAGCCCTTTCTCCTTGTAGGCTTAGGACTGGAAGGTAAGTGTACCATCCAGGTCGGGATCCGACTGTACTTCTTTAGAGCTCACCCCTATTTTAGGTTTCGCCTCGACCAAAAATTCGACCCGACTTCTTTGCATAAGCAGGATCGGACATAAACCGACCCCTTGGATTAGCTAAGCCCTTTCGCCTTGTAGGCTTAGGGCTGGAAGGAAAATGTACCATCCCAGTCGGGGGCCGACTGTACTTCTTTAAAGTTACGCCCCCTTTTTTCTTTTTGGGGTTCACTCGCCTAAAATCCGAGTGGGCTTCCCTAGATGAGCCAGGTTGGTCATAGTCCGATTCCGCTCTTCTATAAGAGCATACTCGGCCAATACCCGACTGGTCTTCTCTACATTGCTCGGTCGGGGGCCGATCTGACCTCCCCATATACGAGCCATCCAATGGCAAGGGCAAGACCCCACCTCAATCACCAAATATCCTCCGAATAAGAACGGTTAATGAAATCCCCAAATTCTCAAGGCCTAGGAGGCCCGTGAACTAGAAACTATAAAACCTAAAACCCTAGAGTTAAGAAGGAAGATTACACCTTTGAATGCTCTGACTTTAAGGCTTGACCTAGGAAGAAACCCTAGTCCACCCCTTGGCCGGAACAGTATTCATCTTCATGTTGTGAAAGAAATTGAAACACATTATTTCATACATTCTTTGAAAAGAAATAAGATGACACCTCAAAGAGCACAAGATCTAGTATTTGTTTATAGCAATCTATACCTCCTTTTTAGAAGTTTCTCACGGTACAATCAAGAAGAGACTAAAATGTTGAGTACTGCAGATGATAAATTTGATTCTCTTGATGATGATGCAATTCTTGAAGATGCTAATTTGTCTCTTAATGAACTAGATTTCTAAGCCGTGTTTTTTTAATGATGATCGATGACCAACAATAATGATTTCTCGTAATATTTCTTTTTTGTGACTCTTTATTTATGATAGTTTTTGTTAGATTTTGTTATGAGCTATAATATTTCTTAGTAATTTTTTTGAAACTTAGTAAATTATTGTCATATCTATATATAGATATTTTTGTCATGTTATTCATATTATATGTGTGTGTATCGAATCCATGTATCCTATATATTTTTTTATTTAACTGTATCTATGTGTCTGTATCCATATCATATCAAAATCCGTGCTACATAGTTAAGCATTGAAATAATATTATCAATAAATTCTTTTAAATTCTCAGGTTCCAAGAGACGGCCATAATCAAAGAGATTATTCAACTGAAAAAAAGGTTAATAAATTGTAGTAATCGAAAATGGGTAAATACAATTGAAAATCTAAAACATGAGAGGATGTGTATATGTTCCTCAAGCAGGGACTATCTCTATATATTCTTTCAGTTTGCATCTTCCAGTCGACCCCATCACTAAATTTAAAGTTTATAACCCAAACCACAAGTAGCATGAAGGCGTTTTTCGCTTCATGTTTTCCTCTGATTCTATAATCCGCGGTTATTCAATATTTATTTTATGATAATGGTGTGTTTATAAATACAAATTGCCTTATTTTTATTCCTTCTCGCGAATTAATTTTTTTTTTACTGTTAATATATATATA